GCCCTCCCGAAGTTCCCGCCTCCCCCCTCCCCTCTGCTTCCTAGTGGGCTAGCGGTGGGGGAGGGGACTGTGGGCTCCGGAGCGAGACCGAAGAACTGGGCCCTCCTCTGGTCACTGCCACCCTCATCCACAGGTCCCAAGGCACAGCTACTCTTACTATCCATGCGGATCTGAACCATGGCCTTCTCTTTTCTTCTCCAAAGATAATTTGCCACCCCTTTCCAGCACCCTGCTTTTTTCCCCACAAAGTTGATTCTCCCTCTCCCTGAGACTCAAGTTTCCTCACCTCTAAAGTGGGGATGGCAATAATATGTAAGGACATCCTGTGTTCAAATAGCATGCCCTGCGCAAAGGAGGGGGAGCAGGAAGAGAGATGAGGAAAGAGGAAAAAAAGGGCCCTGGAAAAGAGCCCTCATGATGTGCACGTAGATATCCTAACAGAATGTATTTTTCAGAAAGAACATTGGAGTGGATAAATGGTTCAGAAATTACTGAATAAATCATGCTGATTCTCAGAAGTTGTCTAAGAGCTGTACCCATCTCTTCTTTGAGGAGCCTCACAGAGATCTTGTTTAAAATGTAGATTCTTGGGGCCTGCAGTTGGCAAAGTGCCTGAGGGCATGGTGATTAGGAGTAGGTGATGATGTTCTATGCATCAGTCTAGGCTGACCACTGCTGGGGGTTGGCAGGTGAGGGCCACACTCAGGCTCCTTCTCTCCCCGGTAGGGTCCTGAACGCCATAACCTGCTGACTCTGAGAACGCACCTCCTTTGCATTTGCAAGACTGAATTTCAGCCAGAGTGGGAGCAGGTTGTGAAAGGGCTCTTGTGACACTCCTGCCCGCTATCAGGCACAGCAAAGTGGAATGTCAGTCCATCAGCGGTTACCTGTTTTGCAATAGCCCTGGAGGCCCATCTTGAAGAAATCTTCATTTTTGCTGACAGCACTAGGAATTCTCCCTGATGGAAACGGAACTTAATTCTCAAATGAATCTGGGATGCTGCTCTCATATCAGTTTGCTGGGGGCTGAGGCAGAGAAGACGTGCCAAGCTCACACACAGGGTTGTCTGTTCCGGTTATCTCCTTTAGGGCTGGATAAATGAGTGCAGGAATAAATGAATGGGAGAATGGAGTCTGAGCACAAGCTGGTGGTTTCCTGCAGCAGAATCACCCTAAGTGCTTGTTAAAATGTAGCTTTTTGAGCTCCACTTCCGGAGTTCCTGATTAGGTTGGATTAATTTAACCAGAGAGGAACAGAGAGAAAGAGAAAATGAGAAAGCAAGCCGCAAGGTCCAGGACTTGAACCAAGTTAAGCCATGTGGGAGTCCAGCACCCTTAAGCACCAATGCCAACTGCAGGACCCAAGAATCTACATTTTAAACAAGATCCCAGGCCATGCCGATGCTGGTCCAGGAACCACACTCTGAGACACCACTGGCACAAGCCATCAGTGGATACTCCTTTAGGCAATGATTAGTGTGACTGCACACTTGCTGCCAATCCTGCCAAGGACTTCCCATGAACAGTCTGAAACAGGGACCCCCTGACTTGGTGGTTGGGGAAGTGTGGAGGGACTACCCACTTTTATCTTTCTGCAAACTCCCCAGGACAGTATCAGTTTTGGTTCACTCAGATCCCTGGTGGTGTGGAATATGTGTGCATGCATGTGTACGTGTGCATGCCCATTTGTGCTGCTGCCTTGACAGGTACTGCTGACCTGATGAACACTAGTTTAAGGCTGAGTACTAATATTCTCCAGGCTCTCTCCTTTGCTTCCCAGAGTCCTTGGAGTTTTTCTATTGAGCAAAGAGGAGGCAAAGTGTGGTTACAGACCTCAGCCTCTTTCCTGGGATTTGGTGACATCTAGTGGCTAACTGCAGAATCTCCGCTCATACTTACAGAAACTTCTGGAAAATTAACTGAGCAGCCTGAAAAACAAAAATATCTACCAACTTAAGCTCTGTGAAAGATTTACTGAAGGACTTGGAAGGGCAGGGTGACTGGCTCAATGTGACATGAGAGTCAAAACAGATTTCTTGCTCTCCTGGGAGCTGTGATAGAAATTAGAAGTCATTAAAGAATTTCAATTCTCTACTTCATCTTCAGTTTGAATGATTTTCTAGAAATGGTTGTCTATGAGGTGTCCCCAAATAGAATGGTCTCAGGTAACATCAATTTGGTATTTGCCTCCCATCTCAGGTCAGGGCATTTCTCTGGTTCCCCAAGCCTTAAACAGCAGGAAAATAACAATCCAGTTCCAGGGTGGTCAGATCAACAAAGATCTAGAGAAGTCCAGGTGCAGCTGGAGAGCAACTGTGCCTGAAGGTCAATGAGAGGTGGAATTGTTACCAACCAGTGTTCTGGACAGAAATTAAGATACCCCTTGGGACCAGCAGTTAGCGTAATGGCTATGTCGCTGGACTCCCACGAAGTCCAACGCGGTTTTAGTCTCTGACCCTGGCTTAAACTCATGTGTGCATACCCAAGATTCCGAGAGGAGAATGGAGGAGAAGGGATTAGGGCGTGGCCATCCCCTCTGGGGGGTGATTTTTCGCTTTCTCTCTGTCTGGCGAGCGCACGTGCCCTATAATAGCAAAAACCTCTCCAAAAAAAAAAAAAATTAAGATACCCCTAAGAAGAAATACCACAGGCAGAAATGCCACAGGTGCTCAGAATCCTCAAGAGATTTGGCAAGGTCTTGTAAATAATCACATATGCTCTGTATTTTTTTTTTTTTTGGAGAGGTTTTTTTTTTGTTGTTTTGTTTTGTTTTGTTTTGCTATAGACGACGTGCGCTCGCGCACGTGCGCTCTCCAGACAGAGATAGAAAGTAAGAAATCACCACCCAGGGGAGATGGCCAGGCTGCAATCCCTTCTCCTCCATTCTCCTCTTGGGGTCTTGGGCACACATACACATGTACTCTGCTTGAGTTTAAGCCACCGGGTCCAGGACTCGAACCGTGGTTGACTATATGGGAGTCCAGCAACATAGCCATTATGTTAACCGCTGGTCCCAACATGTGCTCTGTATTTTAACATAAAATTTAAACTACTTCTTGGGACCAGCAGTTAGCGTAATGGCTATGTCACCGGACTCCCATGTGGTCGACTGCGGTTCCAGTCATGGACCCGGTGGCTTAAACTCAAGCCGGGCGCGTGTGCGTACATGCCCAAGATCCTGAGAAGAGAATGGAGAAGGGATTGCAGCGTGGCCAGTGGTCTTCTCTCCTGGGGGGTGATTTCTCACTTTCTGTCCCTGTCTTTCTGGCGAGTGCATGTTCCCTATAGTGAAAATCTCTCCAAAAAAGAAGAAAAAAAATTATAAACTACTTCTTAAGGGAAAAAAGGGGAGGCAATCAGGAACCATGATGCTCCCCCTTCAAGTTTTGGTTTTAGGGTTAAAATCTAAACCCTTCGGAGAACTAGGCTAAGTCTCCAATATTGATCTTGAGAGCAACAACATCAGTACATTCTCCAGCATCTCCTCAGAACTACTAAATCAGAAACTCCAGGGAAGTGGCCCAGCAATGCATGTTTTCAGAAGCCCTACCAATGATTTTGATGCACACTAAAGAACCACTGTTTCAAACAAGTTTAGATGCCCTGACAAATCTGAAAAGTGTATTTAGAAGCTCTGTTAATGAATTCATGAAGACCAAATTATTTCTACCATAGGCCTTAGACCTTCTGGTCTGTAGTTAAATACTTTTTTGCTTTTGCTTCTTTGGATTTTGGAGAACGCTGTCTCAATAAAGCTGTTACCAGGGTCACCCAATAGTCCAACAGACATTGCAATAAATTTAGAAACAAAAGGAAATGTTCCATCTGAATATTAATCAAATAAATACAAATTAAAATAACAATGGTATATTATTTTTCAACGAATAAATTGACAGATCAAAAATAATAATAGCATTATTAAATGGCATGGAGGGGGGAATACGTAAGAAAAAATTCTATAATCATTCTGGTAAGAAAAATCGTCTTAACAATGCACATACTTTTGACTCAGTAATCCACTTCTTATAACTTAGGGATAATCGGTATAAAGATGCTAATGTATTGATTATAATGTAAAAATTCAATTTAAATTTCAACAGCAGAGGGTCAGCAGGTGGTGTGGTGATTGAGGCCCTAGACTCTCACATGGCAGACCATAATTCAAGTCCTGGACCTAGCAGCTTGCTTTCTCACTTTCTCTCTCTCTGCTGAGCCTGTGCACCCTAAGGCAAAATTTAAAAACATAATAAAATTAAATAATTCTTTTCAAAAATTTGAACAGCAAAGTCAATTAGTGTATCCATATGACAGAACATAAAAGTCAAGCTGTACAAGATTATCTTTCCAGTTTTTAAAAGGAAGATTTATTTAACAAGTTTCACTTAGTACAATACATCTAAATGGAAATCACAATACAAGGAAAGATTTAAATCAAAGCCTCGGAATTTTATACAAACGACACGACCAAACTCCTAAAGTATTGGTATTACATCTCAAAATTGTCCCAGATCTTAATAAAAAAAAAAAAGTAAAAGTATACACTCCACGTGCCTTACAGGATATTAAACCAAAAAGCTAGAATTAACAAACATGCCAAATGTTTTCACTTTGAATCGTAGACACAGCTCCTATATTTGAGTTTTACAGAAAAGCATGTTTCTCAACATGCATCTGAAGTTTTCAGTGTATTGTGTATAAGAGCAACATTTAACATAAGTGAAACTGCTTTAACCTAAATACGCTTACTGCTTAGGTACACTCCTACAACATAACTAACTAGAGGAAAGCTGAAAATTGTTTTAACAGTTATGGTCAATACTGAACTTTGTTATTACGTTCTAGATGAATGTTTCAGTGTTCAAAATTACTGAGCTTGAAGTTTTAAAACAATCCTGACTTCCACTTTACAGTAAGTGTGAATCACAAGCCTGTAATGCAAAACTGTTAAACTTAATTTGTTTTTCTTAAAAAAAAAGAGAAAGAAGAAAAAGAAACCCTCCCATTCTATTTAACTTCCTTAAATGCACAGCTTTTATTTCTGTATTAGCTGTTTAGGGCTCCTTCTCTACCTAAGCAAGGTTTGACTGATAGTCGCTGGAGTTTTCCTACAGAACTTGGTCATGTCCACTTATACTGCTCTGACCACCATAACCACCTCCATAACCACCACTCAGCTGCTGGTTAGCAGGACCTCCATAGCTAGACTGGTTAGATAAGCCCATCCCTCCCATCATCTGGCTACCATAAGCACCACCACTTGCTCCTGCTGTAGAATTCAAGAAGAGTTCTACATAGCTATGATCATATGCTCCCCCACTTGTTCCTGCAGTAGAATTCAAGAAAAGCTCCACATATCTGTGTTGCATATTAGCTTTGTCTTTTGCCATAGCTGCCACAGCATCTTCATGAGTAGCAAATTCAACATCTGCTTCACCAGTAACTCTACCATCGGGTCCAATTTCAATGTGTACTCTCATGGGGTTAAGAGGCGAGAAAAGATTGTAAATATCATTCTCAGTGGCTCTGTACAGTAACCCCCTCATGTGTACACAGTGCCCTGTGGTGCTCTGAAAACTGGACCCACCATCTCCATGTCTATGATCAGACATTCCTGAAAAACAGTAATTGAGGTCTCTTCCAAATCTATCAGACCCAAAGCCATAGCCATCATTATAGCCACCATAGTCATCATAGCCTCCATACCCTCCACCATAGGCACCCCGCCTCATCCTTTCAAACCCAACTCCTCTGCCAATGCTATTATACCCTCTGCCAGCCCCAGGCCTATCATAGGGACCCGGGCGCTGCATAGCCATGAGCTTTCGAGGGGGATCATAATGGGTTCGAACTTCGGCTCGGCTACTCTTGAAGATTTCAATGTACCTGTGCCCTCTTCTTTCCTTGGGTTTCTTTAAGTTAAGCTATCGGCAGTGTCATCCCATTTGGCACAATTTCCAACCCTGAAAAGAACTGAACAATCTCTTCCTTGCTACAGCCAAATGGGAGTCCTCTAAGCCGGACGAAGCCATCGTTGGCAGTATCAGGGCTATTCGGACCTGTATGCTTCAACACCCAATCCATTTCAACACTGTTGGACTTGAATACTTCAACATATCTGTGTCCCATGGTTTCTCTGTCCTTCTTCAAAGCCAATTTCACTTCATCTTCAGATTCAAGTTCGACAAATGCTTCACCACTTGGTCTGCCTTCTCTGGTGTAGATGAAACGGATACCCGATGTGCCATTCTGGATTTTGCAATCAGAGAAGAAGCGCATCACTTCATCAGCTGAGCAGGACCAGGGCAGGCCCCTGACCTTCACCACGAACCCCTCCCTGCCTTCTGTGCTCAGCATCATGTTGACTGTTGGGCTCTTGGTGGCAAGCTTGGCTCAGTGCAATTTTGATGTGGCTGAAAAAAATTAGAAGGCTATTGTCATGGAAAAATGTTCAAGATATAATAAAAGGAAAAAGCAAACCATTAACACAAAACTCAATAACATTGATAGCTTTTTAATAATATCCATATAAACAAAAAGACTGCACCAAATTTTTAACTCCATTAATTCATTCAACAATTATTTATTCAATGCCTATTAGGTGTCAGATATATTAATGGTGTTTATATCTAGATAGTAGTATTATGGGAGCTTTTCATTTCAGGGAATTTTTTTCCCTTTGGACATTTTTTGTATGTTCTAAGTTTTCTGCATTGACCACATATTAACATTATAATCAGAAAATAAGACTTAATGGAAAATAACAAATAAAAGATGGTTATATCGGGACCAGCAGATGGCATCATGGTTACAAACATCAATGGACTCCCATGGTCCACTGCAGTTCGAGTCCTGGACCTGGAGGCTTAAACTCACACTAGGCATATGAGCATGCATGCCCAAGGTCCCAAGAGGAGAATGGAGAAGAAATTGCAGTGTGGTCATCCCCCCTGGGGGGTGATTTCTCACTTTCTGTCTCTCTGTCTTTGTCTTTCCAGTGAGCACACACACGGTATAGCAAAAATCTCTCTTCAAAAAAAAGATGGCTATATCTGAATTCATAAAAATGAAGAATTACATGAAAAGATTAAGCAGAATTTAAAAATACAGAAATCACCTGAGAAGATACTTAGAATGAATATATTAATATCTTTATTTTACAAAGAACTCATACAGATTAATAAAATGAGGAAAAATATCAGACCTAAAAGATAAAGGCTCTGGCATACAAAAATCAATAAGCCCTCAAAGGGCCTATGGTCCTACAGGGGCACTGTAGGTCTTTACTAAAGACGTTAAGTACAAATATACAGTATACCTGCTATGACAGAACTCTGTACAGAGTGTAAGGATAGTATAAAGGATTATCAATTTTATCAGTTAGAGGCAGATAATTAAATGACAAATACTAACCCATTTAAGGATCCATAAACAAATTTTTCAAACCATGATGAATCATAAAATAGGAAGGGACAAAGCAAGAAATAAGGCTAGAAAACTAGAAATCAGGTCCTGAAGGCTTTATTTGACACATAAATGCTAAGGGCCTTTCACAGATTTTACACAGGAGAGAAGGAGAGAGGGAAAGGAGGGGAGAAGAGAGAGAGCAAGTGAGCGAGCAAGAGGGAGAGAGGGAGATAGCGAGCGAGCAGTGACGTCATCAGAACCCATTCAGACAGATCACCCTGGCAACAGTGTGGCACTTAAACAGAAGGGGGTTGAGGTGAAACTAGCGAGATTAGTTAGAATTGGTCTTTTAGAGATAAGAATGTATGGGACTTGAAAACAGATTAAATATAGGGGACATAAAGTATAGGACGGTACAGAAGGCATCTGGGAAATATTTAAACCTCAACAATGAGCAGAAATGCAAGTTAAAATCAGAACTAATCACTATTTTCACCCATCAAGATAGTGGAAATTAAAAAGTGACAATAAGTCAATGCTATTCTGTGCTCACAAATTAGTATACTACTTGAAAGTTGCAAACCGACACACTATTTCTGGAAAGCAATTTTGGTACTATGCATCAAGCCTTTTGATAGTAAATCCCTTCAGGTTATGTGCTCTAAGGAGATGATCTAAAATTCAAGGATGTATAGAAGTATCTATTCTTCTAAGAGTATTTAACTGAGAAAAAGGGACTATTACACATTTAATAAAAACTTATAAAAAATTACCAACACAAGAAATGATTTGTTATAATCTTAATTCAAGGTCACAGCTACTTTATAATCTCAATTATGTAAAAAAAAAAAATTATGTTCACATACCCTCTGACCCTGCTACAATTCCTTCCAGGAATCTGGTCAACAGAAATACTTGCAATTGTTCACTGTAGCACTGTTAGTAATGACAAAAAATTATAAACTAAATAGCTATCAATAGAGGGACACCTAAATAATTATACTTTATTCTTAAAATGGAATACTAAGCAGCTGTTTTTTTTAAAGAGGTTGGCCATGACCCAGAAAGATTTCCAAAATATATTAAATGAAAGAATACATTCTAATCCTTTTATTAAAATATAAGGATGCATGTATTTGTGTATGTAAAGGAATTAGAACTCTGGATGTACAGAACGCAAACGTTTTTGAGAAAAGAAGGGTAGTGGAGTGCAATGAGATTTCCACTATTTACTCTACATACTTCCATACATTTTTAATTCTTTAAACTCACTCTATTGGAAATTTTAAAAACATTGCAACCAAATTAACATGCTTGCTTTTCTGAGATTCTATATATCAAATTTTGTAAAATATTCTTATTTTGTATGTGGATGGCTTATCTGACATGGTCTGAGAATATCGGGCCTGGGCCTCTTGAAAAGAAAAGTACAAAGTATAATAACTGCCATAAAACTATACTGAAGCTTCTTACTAACTGCCTATTATGTGTCTAGCACACTCCATCTGCAGCGGTAACCGTCTTCTTATAAACCATCCTCAAGTCTCAGTGATAGATTTATGGATTGATTTTTTTTTTTGCCTGCCTTGTCCATAGGATGACCCATCCCATTTAATGCCCCTGCAAAGCTCTATGCCTTAACACCACCTTTGTAATGGCAGGGAGGTTCTGATTCATTATTGTATCTCCTGAGAAGGCCACCAAGACTCTGTTGCCTGAAGTAGAACCAGGATTCCATCTGTGAGTTAAGAATTTGTGTATTTTATATGTGTGTTATACACATACTTTTTAAAAAAACTGTAACGTCGTAAGGTTTAACAGTTATCTCTGGGCGGTGAATTATATGTATTTTTAAAATTTATAGTACACTGTTATTTTTCAAATGTTGAAAATTGAACATGTACATGGTTGTTGTAAGCAAAAATAAAATAAAATAAAATAAACGTTATTCAAATACTCAATTCAGTAAAAAAAAAAAAAAATTATTGGCGTGGCGTCTCTGTCAGGCACGCAGCAGTTGCCTAGATGTGACTCTACAGATATAATTCACATGGGGCCTCCCCCTACAGACAATCGGGCAGTGGAGACTGAGTGCCTGAATGGATGGACCAAACACTTCGACCGCTGGTCTCAATATCTGTTTTTCCTAATTCAGAGCGGTGGTTTTCAAACGTTTTTCACCTTACGGTCCCTCTTAGAGGTCCCCTGAGACCGGCCCGGACAAAAAGATATACAAAAACATATACAGTCACGAACGTCCACCATTTCCCCACCAGGCGCAGCAAAGGCGGCTTCCCGGCACTGAGATGGGCGGGAGGGGGGGGGGTTGGGGGAGGGGAAAGCGGCGAACGAAAAAGGCGGAGGCGGCCCTCGGACCCAGCTCTGGTCTTCATCATCACCACCCCCGGGGTCCCCAGTCCCCACCCACACACCAACCTCTAACGATACCGGGTAATTTTCCTCCTTCTTCCCTCAAACGGCTATAGCGAGACGGTAGACGACGACCAGAACTACTTCTGCTCACGTAAGCGATTGATCACGTGAGCACCTACGTCATGTGAGATCTCGGTCACGTGAGCAACTCTCGCTTAAACTCGGGATCACTAAGGTGCCGCACTTCCTTCTGGTATGGAATTAGGGCGGGCCAATATCAAAGGAGGAAGATTGTGATTGGTTGGCAATACGTTTTACGTGATTGTTCATTGGCCTGCCACCGGGGATAACCGTCCCAGTTGCCTGAGAAACAATAACGTCATTATTTAATCAGTCGTTGGTGATTGGTCCGCCCCTAAGGTTAAAGTTAAAGTCCCCAGGTTACCCGCGGAAATCTGTCCTGTAAGATCACAGTGACAATGAAGCTGAGGAGCAGAGCGCCGAATCTGGGCTGCAGGTTTATGCTTCGCTTCCTGGTCCTGGTTCTTTGTGGCGTTCCCGGGGTTAGGGCACTGGACAATGGCTTGGCGATGACGCCTACCATGGGCTGGCTGCACTGGGAGCGCTTTGTGTGCAACCTTGACTGCCAGGAAGAACCAGATTCCTGCATCAGGTATCAGTTATTGAGTGTCCCCTTCTCTTCGCTTTTCTGTCAGTTGGTTTGGGCGTGTTTGAGGGAATGGAGAATCTCAGCGGAAAGGTTTGAGCTCGAAGGAGAGCTCCCCAACTTCTGCTTTTTTATCCCCAGTCCACAAGCTCTAAACTTTGTCCGCCCGATCACTCCTGGAGTGGGAGTCCTCTGGCGACTCCTGCTGCTCTCTCCCTCTGTCCGGTAACCTACCTAGAGACTTTAATTTATCGAGGTCACCTACCTAGAAACTTGAATTTATTGAGGTCACCTACCTAGAGACTTTAATTTATTGAGTGGGTCCTTTCAGCTCCTCCTCATGAGCTTCTCTACTGCTGATGAGTGCTACCTGTGAGCACAGAAAGGGTATGTAAGAGGGACACGGGATTTAAGACTCGTACCATTTTGTCTTCTTTTTGGATTACGGGTTCCTTGACTGTATCTCTAGGGCGTTAAAGACCATGGTTGTTTTTTGTTTTGTTTTTTGAGAGGTTTTTTTGTTTTTGGCTATAGGGCTCGTGTGCTCACCAGAAAGACAGAGATAGAGAGACAGAAAGCGAGAAATCACCCCCCAGGGGGGATGGCCACTCCGCAATCCCTTCTCCTCTCGGGATCTTGGGCACTCACGCACACGGCATGAGTTTAAACCACCGGGTCCAGGACTCAAACCGCATGGGAATCCAGCAACATAGCCATTACACTAACTGCTAGTCCCAAGACCATGGGTTTTTGAGAACTCTTCCATATACTTCGCCCTTGAGTGTGGCATCAGGCTGGAAGTTTCCGCATTAAAGGTGAGAGTTGAGGCTGGAACAAACTGGTATTGAATTTATCTGATCCTCACAATCTTTATGAGGATTTTATTATTATTATTATTATTATTTTGCTTCAAGAAACTGACTCAAAATAGTACTTATCTCACATCATACTTAAGTGAGCTTTCAATGAAAGTAGCGCCTGCCTGACCTTCCAATTAGGAATGCAGAACAAATGTTTTCTTTTTTTCTTTTTTTGGAGAGATTTTTGCTATAGGGTGCGTGCGCTCGCCGGACAGAGAGACAGAAAGCGAAAAATCACCCCCCAGGGGGGATGGCCACGCCACAATCCCTTCTCCTCCGTTCTCCTCTCGGGATCTGGGGCACGCATGCACACGTGCCTGGCATGAGTTTAAGCCACCGGGTCTGGGACTCAAACCGCAGTCGACTATGTGGGAGTCCAGCAACATAGCCATTAGCTAACTGCTGGTCCCAGAACAAATGTTGTTAACCTGGAATCCATAGGGTAAAAGAATGTAACTCTGCAAGTGTGAGTATGTAGATTTTTCTGGAGAGATTTTTATCTTTCTTCAGCTTCTCAAAGGGATCTGTGATTTAGAAAAATTTAAGAATAGCTGATAGATACTGTTAAAAACAGTAAGGTCACCCATAATGCAGAGGCCCCTCCAAAGATAGGGATCCCAGTACATCTCTGTGTCTATAAGTTACTCCTGTGAATATCTACAGATAAAACTAGGATATTGGTCAGACATTAGAGAAGTAATTGGTCTTTTTTCTCTTTTCTCTCTTTTTTTTTTAAGTGGTAGTGGTCTTATTTTTGTATCTGATTATAAAACAAATGCATGGTAATTGCAAAAAACGTAGGTAGTAGAGTATAATGGAAATAACATTCCCCCTACTCCTCCACCCAAAAATAATCATGGTTAAAATGTCAGCAGGCAAGTGGCATGGTGGTTAAAGGCGCTGGATTTCCCCATAGCTGACCACAGTTCAAGTCCCAGACCTGGTGACTTCCTTTCTCACTTCCCCTTTCTCTCTGTCTGTCTCTGGTCAAATTAAATAATAACAAATGGAGTTAAATAAGTAAATCATTCTTTTAAAAATGTATATATAAGACTTTGCATTTTTTCCTTGTAAATGGAAACACTCATTTGTTTTTATTTTTTTGTTTTGTTTTGTTTTGCTTTTTCATTATCTCCTCCAAAAATGGGATTATGTTTATATCATGGGTGGTTAACGGAAAGCAAGACTGGTACTCTACCTGGCTTCAAATACTGCCTCATTGTTACTGTGTGATATTGGGCAAATTGATTATCCTCTCTAAATGTAAGTAGAGTAGAATGCATGGCACAGACTAAGAGCTTCATAAATGCTAATTGTATGTATATACCATAATTTTAAAAGTTTTTTTTTCCTGAGAGACAGCCATCTCCAACAGTGTCTTCTGACCACAATCTACCTCTCAGCCAGCCAGGATCACAGGCACTAGTGCCTCCTTTGTGCACAGGGAGACCTTGGGTACTTACCATATGGCTTAAAATATGGTGGAAGGTTGTATCACTGCTGCACCCCTGGGGCTGGCCTCATAATTTATTTAAACAACCCTCTGTTGATAGCTATTTAGGCCTTCCCATTTTTGTACATCATATGATTCTTACCTGATTCTTTCCTTGAAAAACTAATTACTGGGTTTTGAGGTATGCTCATTTTGATATACATCAAACTACCCTCTCCAGAGGTTTTACAAGTACACCTTCTCAACAACAGAATGCCTGTTTTCCCACACCTTGGCCAACACTACATTGAAAACTTTTGCTGAGCCAGTAGGTGTTCTTTGCATTTCTTTGATTACTAACAAGGTTAAACATCTTTTCATATATTGAATTGGCTCTTTGCAGTTGTTTCTTTTGGGGATTGTCCCTTTGTGTTAGTTCCCTATTTCTTTCTTACCCCCATTTTGTTTTGTCTGTTATACTTTGTGAATACAGTGGCTCTTGCTATCTTGATTTTGATATTTAGGTAATGAGACGCATCACTTCTTTTTGCTTTCTTGCTTAAGGGTCATGCTGAGAAAGTCCTTTCATACTGAAGATCATAGTCACCTGTATTTGCTACTAGTGTTTTTGTGGATTTTAAAAATATTTAAATCTTCAGTCCACCTGAACTTTATTCTTCTGTAAGGAATGCCATATTTAATGTGTAACAAGACACATGGTATCACATGGCTGAAAGAATCTCTTTCTGGACCAGCAGATGGCGATGGCGTAGTGGCTATGTTGCTAGACTCCCATGTAGTCAACCGCGGTTTGAGTCCCAGACCCAGTGGCTTATAATCACACCGGGGGGGAGGAGTTGGGATGTCACACCGGGTGCGTGTACGTGTGTGCCCAAGATCCCTAGAGGAGAAGGGATTGTGACATGGCCATCACCCCTGGGGGGGGGATTTCTCCCTTTCTGTCTCTCTGTCTTTCTGGCAAGTGCACGCGCCCTATAGCAAAAACCTCACCAAAAAAAAAAAAAATGGGATCTCTTTCTGAACTTTCTTTTTAATTCCATTAGTGTGTTCTAATACTAACAGTACTATACTACTTCCTTTATCTTTGCTAGCATGTATAGGTTCAATCTTTTAAAAAAAAAAATGTGCCTGAGGACATGCACTGGCCAGAAAAGAGGGGGTGAGAAAGTACCATCCCCCCACCACTAGGGGTAATGGCCACATGGCAGTCCCTTCTGTTTCTTCCTGTTTGGGATTTTGGACATGTATGCTCATGTACCCAATGTGCTCAAGCCTCTGGTCTAGGACTCCAATGTGCAGTCAGCCACGTAGATCCAGCTCCCTTAACCACCATGCCACTGACTGACCCTGTGTTTAATTTTTCAGAGGAACTTTTTAAATCATTTTGCCTTTAAAAGTTCTTTTCAGGATTTGTTCAAATGTATAAAGAATTGTAGAGAGAATAAACTTATTCTTAATGTTGAGTTTTCTTATCCAAGAGCAAAATGTTCCTCCAATTATTCAAATAATTGAGGAACACCATAATTTTAGTATATGAATCTTGCACATATCTTACATTTATTTCTAGGTATTTTAGGCTTTTTTGTTGCTTTTTCACGTACTCTCGGGAATAGGATCTTTTTCTCCAAGGTTATTGTTCCTATCCTAAGAAGGTGTTAATCATTGCAAAGCTATTAACTTTGTGGGCCAGCTTGTGATTAAGATGGCTAGATTCCACATGGCCAACAGCATGGCCGCAGAGGGAGTCCTGGACCCAGTGGCTTGAAAAACACATTGGGCACATGTGGATGTGTGCCTAAAATCCTGAAAGAATGTAGAAATAGAGGAAAAGGGATTGTGGTATGAGTCTCCCCCATAGAGATGCTTCCTCACCTTTCCCTTTTCTCTCTCTCTGCATTAAGCACACACACAGTCTGACTTTTTAAAAAAATATGTGTTAACTTTGTAGTGTCTTACTCTACTGAACTTTCTTTTCTTTCTTTTAATTTGTCAGAGGGTGCTTGCTTTCTCCAGAGAAAGAGAAGAGGGGGAGAGAGAGAGAGAAGCACCTCCCACACCATGGGGCATGGTCACACCACAATCCCTTTTCCATTTCTCCATCCTGTCATGATTTGGGGCACACATGCCAGGTTGTTTTCTATTTTTGTTTTTTAAAATAATTATTTTAATTTTATTCATTGTCATTATTTTTATTTTTAAGTTGACCAGAAAGAGCGAGAGAAGGTGAGAAAGAAAACTGCCAGGTCCAGGACTCGAACTACGGTCAGCCATGTGGGAGTTCAGCCATCTTAACCATCATGTCAGTCAGGTGTGTTTTTCAAGCCACTGGGGCCAGGATTCAAACCATGTGCTCAGCCATGTGGGATCTGGCTCCCTTAACCATTAGACCACAAGACCAGCCCTGAACTTTCTTAGTTCTAATAATCTTTTCAAATTTGTCATGTATTTCTTATTATTTTTGAGGTTTTTAGGGCAGAAGTATTAAGGAGGTAGAGAAAGGAGAAGGAAAATTGGCAGAACAGTGCATTTTACCCTGTATTTGGTCATGATTACAACCACACTACTATAACTGGGTTGAAAAAACTTGTGAAAGCCCAGAGTGCCTAACAATTAGGAGGTACCTAACCATTAATTTAATTAATCGTAATTATTGTGGTTTTTCTTTCAGTGAGCAGCTCTTCATGCAGATGGCAGACCTCATGGTCTCAGATGGCTGGAAGGATTCAGGTTATACGTACCTCTGCATCGATGACTGTTGGATGGCTCCCGAAAGAGACTCAAAAGGCAGACTTCAGGCAGACCCTCAGCGCTTTCCTGGTGGCATCCGCCGCCTAGCTAATTACGTGAGTTTGTATTGGGTTGTCAGAAAAGTCATGACATATTTTTTTCTATGTAAAAATGCATCATGATTTTCCCGACAATCCAATAGATAATTTTTTTTTCATTTAGGAGACTGTAAGCAATTCTATACAGAAGCTTGTTCAGAAATAGCCCTTGTGACACTAAGAAAGCAGAATAGCTGCTGTTATCTGAACTTTGAATAGTTAAGGCTTCTCAGGTAGAATTTTCACCCCATCAGCAAGTATATGTTTTGCAATAACCCTGGAGGCCTGTCTTATAGAAGTTTTCCTTTTGCTTAAACTGGTGAATTCTCTAGGAGGAAATAGAGCTTGGTTCTTGACACGTTGTGTGCATACATTTCTGTATAAGCTTTGGGCAGCGATTGCAATTGTACTATAAGCTAGAAGTTTATTTTATTCATGATAGAAGCATCCTTAAAAGGATCTTGTCATACCATGGTTGCCTCTCCCTAGCCCTCTTGTTCCTGAGGTTCTTGGGCATGTGTGCACACACGCACGTGCACACACACACACACACACACACACACACCAAAGTGTGTTTGCAGACTAACTCAAGGATCTGAACCAATGGTCAGCCATATGTCTTCCAGCACTGTAGTTCAGTTTACTAACAGCTGTACCCCCTGGCTGGGTGTATACTAGAATTTTAGAAGCCATAAGGAAAATATTCTAGAGATTGTTGAAGAGAAATAGAGCCCAACACATTAGATAAAGGTGATGAAGACAGATTTTTTTTTTTCTACAGGGTGTGTGTGCTCACCAGAGAGACAGAAAGATAAAAAGCGAGAAATCACCCCCTCGGGGGATGGCCACGCTGCAATCCCTTCTCCTCCATTCTCCTCTAGGGATCTTGGGCATGCATGCACATGCGCCCGGCATGAGTTTAAGCCACCAGGTCCAGGACTTGAACCACGGTCAACTACATGGGAGTTCAGCGACATAGCCATTACACTAACTACTATTCCCATGAAGACAGATTTTATTCAGTATTATTGCAATACAGGAAAGAGCCAAACTCAAATGCAAGGCAACAAAGATAAGTGGGGATGTATAGCTAATGAGATTGGGGGGGGGGAGGGAGCAGAAGGGGAATGGAAAATTATTAAAAGAAGATATCAAGGGCAGGGGAATTCTTGCTAAAGGTGGGCCACAGACTTAGACATCCAGGTCAGGAACGTGAGCAAACTTGATCAAATATCAAGGGTAGAAGAATGGCTTAGCAGGATTCTTGTTAAAATTGGGCTTTTTGGGACCAGCAGATAGCATAATGGTTACATTGCTGGACTCCCACATGGCCGACTACGGTTCAAGTCCTAGACCTGGCAGCTTAAAACTCACGCCGGGTACGTGCCCAAAATCCTGAGAGGATGGAAGAATTGTGGCGTGGTCATCTCCTTAGAGGAGGGCATTCTCACTTTCTGTCTATCTGTCTCTCCTGTGATGCTCGCTATAGCAAAAATATCTCTCAAAGAAAAAATGGGCTTGTTAAAATGGTGCTCACTAGGACATGGACTACGAAGTTCAAGGCCTAGCCTTGAGAAGGTCCAGAGAAATCTATTTGGTCAAGAAGAGCAGCTTTGTCAAGATAAATCTATGATTTCTGGAGAGGTAACTTTTAGTATCCCATCAGGAAGACTAGAGTAGCTGACAGTTATCTTCTGTTCTATGATGTTTGCATAGTTTGAACAAGCTCACCAGAATTGGGGGGAATTTTGTCCTTTGTCTCCTAATAAATTCATCTGGATCATTATAGGAGTCATGGAGAAAAAAGCCCTTAATAGCTGGTGGAGTACATTTGTCTCTGCTCCCAGCCTGGAGTAATTATTTCTGCTACTTCATGATTGCCCTTCTTTGATGGTAACTCCTTTTTTGCTTCTAATTTCAGGTACATAGCAAAGGACTAAAGCTAGGGATTTATGCAGATGTTGGAAATAAAACCTGTGAAGGCTTCCCTGGGAGTTTTGGATACTATGACATTGATGCTCAGACATTTGCTGACTGGGAAGTAGACTTGCTAAAATTCGATGGCTGTTTTTGTGATATGGAACATTTGGTATATGGTATGTTCATTCAAGAGATCTAGCCATGAGCAAAGGGAAGAACTTTAAGGCCAAATTAGCTGACCATTTAAAAAACTAATCTCCTTGGGGACCAGTAGATGGCATAATGGTTACATGGCTGGACTCCCTGGCCTGGTGGCTTAAACCTCATGCTGGGCATGTGTGCATGCATGGCCAAGATCCCAAGAGGAGAATGGAGGACAAGGGATTACAGCATGGCCATTCCCCTTGGGGGGGGGGGTGATTTCTTACTTTCTGTCTCTGTCTCTCCAGCAAGCACATGCACCCTATAGCAAAAAATCTCCCTTAAAAAAAAAAAACTAATCTTTAGATTTTAAATACCCAGTCATAATACTGGAAATAATGATTCTCAGCGTGCCAGAGCTTCCACCTCTTCTCCTTCAATTTACTCATTCATTCATTTATTTATGTATGTAAAATCCATGCATGCCTAACCATGGCTAACACTGTGCACTTTTAATTCACAAGGGCTCTACCAGTGAATGGCAATTAGTTCATTGTAAGTCTCTATAATATCATTTAGGAAAAAGCCCCAGGATGTCAAACAGTCACAGAGAAAGAAGCATCTTTATTCCTGCCTTTCCTCAAATATACACACCATCCTTACACTATCTCCTCATAACAATCCCAGCAGCCTGGGGGGTACTATACACAACTGAAGCACACAGCAACTGCCCATCTCTGCTGGTGGTTTAAACTAGAAACATGGACATACCAAGGCAGCCTCTTTATAAAATACATAGGCCCGTCTGGGAATTCCCTTCTTTCCCTTATTTTACCCATTGTTTTCTCATACAGGTTATAAGTACATGTCCTTGGCCCTGAACAGGACTGGCAGAAGCATTGTGTACTCCTGTGAGTGGCCTTTTTATTTGTGGCCCTATTATAAGGTGAGCCAGTGAGCCCAGAACTGCTGATAGATCTTTACATCTTGGGAACAAAGGAGACAAAGATCTCCTGCAAAGTCCAACCTTACTTAATAGTATCATCCTCCCACCTCTCCCAGGGTCCAACCTCTTCTCACCATCCCCACCATCCCCACTGCTATAATTACTATGTACACTCCCATCACCTGTGAAGTCATCTCTGATTCTTCTCTGTATCTCACCATTCATGGTCCTGTCCATCAGCAGTCCTGTCAGCACTATCTCCAAAGTATATCCTGAATCAGCCCACTCTTTTCCATCTCTACTGCATCCACCCTGGCCTAGCAGCCTGATCTCTCTGCCTCCACTCTCCCCCCACCTACTATTTTGCCTGGCAGCACTATTTTGTTTAAATGTAAATCACATCCTACCCCTTCCCTGCTTAAAACCCTTAATTAGCTTCTGATTGAACATGGAATAAAATCAAACTCCATCAATCAGGTGTGCCTGCCTCTCCAAATTAAAAACAAAACAAAACACCACGGTTTTCCCCTCCCTATGATTGCTTTTCTTTCTGTTCCTGGCAAGTATTGCTGTCTCAGAGCCTTTACACTTGTTTTTGTTTTTATCTGAACTTTGAATAGTTAAGGCTTCTCAGGTAGAATTTTCACCCCATCAGCAAGTATATGTTTTGCAATAACCCTGGAGGCCTGTCTTATAGAAGTTTTCCTTTTGCTTAAACTGGTGAATTCTCTAGGAGGAAATAGAGCTTGGTTCTTGACACGTTGTGTGCATACATTTCTGTATAAGCTTTGGGCAGCGATTGCAATTGTACTATAAGCTAGAAGTTTATTTTATTCATGATAGAAGCATCCTTAAAAGGATCTTGTCATACCATGGTTGCCTCTCCCTAGCCCTCTTGTTCCTGAGGTTCTTGGGCATGTGTGCACACACGCACGTGCACACACACACACACACACACACACACACCAAAGTGTGTTTGCAGACTAACTCAAGGATCTGAACCAATGGTCAGCCATATGTCTTCCAGCACTGTAGTTCAGTTTACTAACAGCTGTACCCCCTGGCTGGGCCTATACTAGAATTTTAGAAGCCATAAGGAAAATATTCTAGAGATTGTTGAAGAGAAATAGAGCCCAACACATTAGATAAAGGTGATGAAGACAGATTTTTTTTTTTCTACAGGGTGTGTGTGCTCACCAGAGAGACAGAAAGATAAAAAGCGAGAAATCACCCCCTCGGGGGATGGCCACGCTGCAATCCCTTCTCCTCCATTCTCCTCTAGGGATCTTGGGCATGCATGCACATGCGCCCGGCATGAGTTTAAGCCACCAGGTCCAGGACTTGAACCACGGTCAACTACATGGGAGTTCAGCGACATAGCCATTACACTAACTACTATTCCCATGAAGACAGATTTTATTCAGTATTATTGCAATACAGGAAAGAGCCAAACTCAAATGCAAGGCAACAAAGATAAGTGGGGATGTATAGCTAATGAGATTGGGGGGGGGGAGGGAGCAGTCGGTGAATGGAAAATTATTAAAAGAAGATATCAAGGGCAGGGGAATTCTTGCTAAAGGTGGGCCACAGACTTAGACATCCAGGTCAGGAACGTGAGCAAACTTGATCAAATATCAAGGGTAGAAGAATGGCTTAGCAGGATTCTTGTTAAAATTGGGCTTTTTGGGACCAGCAGATAGCATAATGGTTACATTGCTGGACTCCCACATGGCCGACTACGGTTCAAGTCCTAGACCTGGCAGCTTAAAACTCACGCCGGGTACGTGCCCAAAATCCTGAGAGGATGGAAGAATTGTGGCGTGGTCATCTCCTTAGAGGAGGGCATTCTCACTTTCTGTCTATCTGTCTCTCCTGTGATGCTCGCTATAGCAAAAATATCTCTCAAAGAAAAAATGGGCTTGTTAAAATGGTGCTCACTAGGACATGGACTACGAAGTTCAAGGCCTAGCCTTGAGAAGGTCCAGAGAAATCTATTTGGTCAAGAAGAGCAGCTTTGTCAAGATAAATCTATGATTTCTGGAGAGGTAACTTTTAGTATCCCATCAGGAAGACTAGAGTAGCTGACAGTTATCTTCTGTTCTATGATGTTTGCATAGTTTGAACAAGCTCACCAGAATTGGGGGGAATTTTGTCCTTTGTCTCCTAATAAATTCATCTGGATCATTATAGGAGTCATGGAGAAAAAAGCCCTTAATAGCTGGTGGAGTACATTTGTCTCTGCTCCCAGCCTGGAGTAATTATTTCTGCTACTTCATGATTGCCCTTCTTTGATGGTAACTCCTTTTTTGCTTCTAATTTCAGGTACATAGCAAAGGACTAAAGCTAGGGATTTATGCAGATGTTGGAAATAAAACCTGTGAAGGCTTCCCTGGGAGTTTTGGATACTATGACATTGATGCTCAGACATTTGCTGACTGGGAAGTAGACTTGCTAAAATTCGATGGCTGTTTTTGTGATATGGAACATTTGGTATATGGTATGTTCATTCAAGAGATCTAGCCATGAGCAAAGGGAAGAACTTTAAGGCCAAATTAGCTGACCATTTAAAAAACTAATCTCCTTGGGGACCAGTAGATGGCATAATGGTTACATGGCTGGACTCCCTGGCCTGGTGGCTTAAACCTCATGCTGGGCATGTGTGCATGCATGGCCAAGATCCCAAGAGGAGAATGGAGGACAAGGGATTACAGCATGGCCATTCCCCTTGGGGGGGGGGGTGATTTCTTACTTTCTGTCTCTGTCTCTCCAGCAAGCACATGCACCCTATAGCAAAAAATCTCCCTTAAAAAAAAAAAACTAATCTTTAGATTTTAAATACCCAGTCATAATACTGGAAATAATGATTCTCAGTGTGCCAGAGCTTCCACCTCTTCTCCTTCAATTTACTCATTCATTCATTTATTTATGTATGTAAAATCCATGCATGCCTAACCATGGCTAACACTGTGCACTTTTAATTCACAAGGGCTCTACCAGTGAATGGCAATTAGTTCATTGTAAGTCTCTATAATATCATTTAGGAAAAAGCCCCAGGATGTCAAACAGTCACAGAGAAAGAAGCATCTTTATTCCTGCCTTTCCTCAAATATACACACCATCCTTACACTATCTCCTCATAACAATCCCAGCAGCCTGGGGGGTACTATACACAACTGAAGCACACAGCAACTGCCCATCTCTGCTGGTGGTTTAAACTAGAAACATGGACATACCAAGGCAGCCTCTTTATAAAATACATAGGCCCGTCTGGGAATTCCCTTCTTTCCCTTATTTTACCCATTGTTTTCTCATACAGGTTATAAGTACATGTCCTTGGCCCTGAACAGGACTGGCAGAAGCATTGTGTACTCCTGTGAGTGGCCTTTTTATTTGTGGCCCTATTATAAGGTGAGCCAGTGAGCCCAGAACTGCTGATAGATCTTTACATCTTGGGAACAAAGGAGACAAAGATCTCCTGCAAAGTCCAACCTTACTTAATAGTATCATCCTCCCACCTCTCCCAGGGTCCAACCTCTTCTCACCATCCCCACCATCCCCACTGCTATAATTACTATGTACACTCCCATCACCTGTGAAGTCATCTCTGATTCTTCTCTGTATCTCACCATTCATGGTCCTGTCCATCAGCAGTCCTGTCAGCACTATCTCCAAAGTATATCCTGAATCAGCCCACTCTTTTCCATCTCTACTGCATCCACCCTGGCCTAGCAGCCTGATCTCTCTGCCTCCACTCTCCCCCCACCTACTATTTTGCCTGGCAGCACTATTTTGTTTAAATGTAAATCACATCCTACCCCTTCCCTGCTTAAAACCCTTAATTAGCTTCTGATTGAACATGGAATAAAATCAAACTCCATCAATCAGGTGTGCCTGCCTCTCCAAATTAAAAACAAAACAAAACACCACGGTTTTCCCCTCCCTATGATTGCTTTTCTTTCTGTTCCTGGCAAGTATTGCTGTCTCAGAGCCTTTACACTTGTTTTTGTTTTCTGCCTGGAATTTCCCCACAAGCTTTTTAAAAGGCCAGCTACTTAACTTTGAAATCTGGACCAAATGCCACATCATCAGATGGGTCTTCTCTAATTGCTTTAAAATAGCCCTCTATCCATTCAATCTCTAACATATTAACCTGTTTAATTTCCTTATAAAAGTATATGTGGGCTTTGTCTCTCTGCTAATCTAAGCTCTGTGATGGCAGGGACCTTGGCCTTGTTTGACTTTATCCCTGTATCCCTCCCTAGCTTATAAGTTGAATAGTTGTTTATGGAATGAATCTCTTTTCTCTTTGTAACCTCTGCAAAATAGTCTCACCTTTTTTGCAAAATTTTAAACTTCAGATATTCTACCTGCCTATCAACAAGCTTTTATTCATTCTATTAAAGTGTATGCCTAGGCTTTAGATTTTCTTACACGCTTGATGGAGTCCTATGTAACTTTACAGCTCTTATTTTAATTATTTCTAATTTAACTAATATTTTTTCATTTTAGAAAAGTTTGAAAATACAGTGAAGTGTAAATAAAATATAAATCCTCCACAATGCCAACATCAAGTTACCAATTGGTAGACTTCCAGTATAAACAAATTATGTGACCTGCTTCTGAAGCAAACCTCTTAAAATGAAATTCCAAGGGACCAGCAGTTAGTGTAATGGCTATATCGCTGGACTCCCACATAGTTGACCACGGTTTGCATCCCGGACCCGGTGGTTTAAAACTCACTCTGGGCGTGTGTGCATGCGTGCCCAAGATCCCGAGAGGAGAATGGAGAAGGGATTGCAGTGTGGCCATCCCCCCTGGGGGGGTGATTTCTCGCTTTATGTCTCTGTCTGTCTGATGAGCACATGTGCCCTTTAGCAAAAACCTCTCCAAAAGAAAAAAAAAAAAGAAAGAAATTCCATTGGAATAAGGGTTTAGATCTCCTCATGGGGTCTGTAAACTAGAGGCTTGCAAGACTCTCCTTTACACTTGATTTTTCATCTCACAAGGGTGTTAGTAAAAGTAAATAGAATCATGTATCTGTTTTCACAGCCCAATTACACAGAAATCCGACAGTACTGCAATCACTGGAGAAATTTTGCTGACATTTCTGATTCCTGGCAAAGTGTGAAGAGTACCTTGGACTGGACATCTTCTAACCAAGACAAAATTGTAGATTTTGCAGGACCAGGGGGTTGGAATGACCCAGATATGGTAAGAGCCTGAGCCTCCCCTATTTAAGACCATGCAATAGGCCTGTTTACTAGTTGACAATCAAGGGTAGTTAGTGCTGTTTCCACAGTGGCCTCTCTATGGGTCATCTAAGAGACTTTTAAGAATGTTTCATCTTCCAGCTGGTGGCATGGTGGCAGCTGGATCCCACATGGCCAACTGCAGTTAAGAGTCCTGGACCCAGCTGCTTAAGAAACATGCCTGTGCATGTGTTTGTGTGTCTCCCCAATACCAAGAGAATGGAGAAAGGATTGTCGTGTGGCCATCTCCCCACCCCGTGGGTTCTCTATTGTTTTCTCTCTCTCTCTCTCTCTCTCTCTCTCTCTCTCTCTCGGGCAATCCGAAAGAATGTTTCACGATTTGAAATGTTATTGAATTCTTTGTCCCAGTTAGTGATTGGCAACTTTGGCCTCAGCTGGGATCAGCAAGTAACTCAGATGGCCCTCTGGGCTATCATGGCAGCTCCTTTATTCATGTCTAATGACCTTCGACACATCAGCCCTCAAGCCAAAGCTCTACTTCAAGATAAGGATGTAATTGCTATCAAAAAAGATGTCTTGGGCAAGCAGGGGTACCGGCTTAGAAAGGTAATGTTCTGTGGAAGAAAATAGGAATCTGCCAGGCACATCTCTTCTACATTTTCTAGTTTACAGTTCAGCCAAATATTTTGGGTGTTATTTTAAGATGACTTTATACCGAAGTACCGACTTTGTTTTGGGCCTGATAAATCTGTTATATATAAGGACATGAACTGATCTCTTGAGAATAGTTGTCTCCCATGATCAATAAGGCATTCTGCTAGTCATTATTTCTATAATATGCTAGAGGATAATTGTAA